GCTTCCCGGGTGACACTTTCCTCTTTCAAGATCTTATCGAAATCAGTCAACTTGAAGCGTACGACGAACAGGAGATATCTTAAGAAGATCAAGAGGAAATTAAGTAATAACAAATAGTATTTCGAAATTTTGGACCACTTAGCTAACTTTATAATATCGTTATATATATTCGAAGTTCTTCTAGTCGTACGGAGGAATTCAAATAGCTTATAAATCGAACGATCCCCCTCGATAACCGTACGAGATGGAATAGCTGGTACTTAATGCTTACTATAGCTATTGAAAAGTTAGGATTAATCGACTTATATATAAAGAATCACCTTTCAGATCTTTAAGCGGATTATCTTTCTCTCTAAGATTAGTATCGACTACGTACGATTAAGACATTTCTTTAATTATTCTATCGAGCTATATTAGAAACTTAAGGTGATTAGGTAATAATCGATCGTACGCTCTTTATAATAGATATCCTTATTTAGTACTTCGAAAAAGCTCTTATATATATATCTAATACTAAAGAAAGTATTACTAACTAACCGTATAATAGATATAATATAATTCTGATTACGAACTCCGTTATCGAATTGAGAAAGGATAAAAAGTTTTCGATAAGTACTATAAAAAGATAGATAAATCTCCTCTATACGTAGCCGCTCTTATACTTTATTTATATCGCCGTATAAAGTATATTTGTACAAATTGGAAGAAGAAATGACAAATACTAGTCTTAAAAAAGATTAAAGAGCTTTAGGAGTCCTATCGAGAGAGAATATCTCCTTCCTTAGTGTCTTTATCGTACGAAGGAGACTTAATATAGTCTTAAGATCTTAATAAGTTTAATTAAATTACTTAAGACTTAGGGAGATATACGCGTCTAGTAAGTTAAGATAAGTAGGAAGACTATAGTAGTGGAGAACCGTACGATATTAGAAAATAACCTACGTTAATATAGTAGTGTTAAGATAAATAAAGGAAACGATAGCTAAGGTTATCGTATATAATAATTAATATTTTATTAATCCTAGCTATAAGCGATAAACTAGAACGAGTCTTCTCTAGTTTACGTCGTACGATCTCTTAGGAAAGGGTATAACTAGGGGTAGAAAGTCTTAAATATATAGAGTGTTTAAAATATTAGAAACGTAGTAGAGTCTTAGATAATATTAATTAAGAAATATACGATTTGACTTATTTAGTTTCGTCTTTCGACTACTTGTCCTAATCGCCGCGTAGAGGTATAAGTTACGGTAGGTGTCGCCGACAACCCTAGGCGACTAGGTATATATAATATGTACTTATACTAGTGCTCGTATAGAGAAATAAAGAAATCTCGTACGTACCTAAAGTTGAATTGGATTTTAAGCCGAAGCCCTAATAGATATAATCTAAAGGTTATTATCGTCCTTATCGTCCGACGACAATTCTATAACTCTCTCCGTATTATTATTATCCGTAGCTAATGAATAACGTGACGTATAATTACGCTACTTATAGTTAGTATAGGCCCCCCTAAAGTATCCTAAAAGTTAGCGACACTCTAGAAAAGGCGTTAGACGGTTCGTACACTAATTATAGTGCTAAACTAATCGTACGCTACGTGATTGAATTAATACGGCGTTAATATAGGAGGGCCGATGGGACCTAAGCTGCCTAGATGTGATACAGCTACGGACAAAGGCTATATCAAGACCTAGCATTGCCAGGGCCAAACGGCTTTGAGGGCTATAGGCGTACGGAGCTAACTCCTACCCGCCTACGAGTAAAAGCGGTACTCGCTATAAAGCTAAATTAGTAGTAGTAAGGGCGGTAGCGGTCTAGGCCGTATCCCAGCGGACGACAGCTAATCGATCGTTATTCCTACTCTTATATCAATATCGTACGCTGTTGAAGAGGGAGAGGATCGGATCGCACTATACCATTACAGATACTAACGTAATTAAGTTAGTAAGTATCTAATGATCAGAGACTAGGTACGTACGATTAGTAATGGTAGTGATAGTGGCGGTAGCGGTAATAGCGGTGGTGGTGGTGGTGATAATATTAGTGATTAGTAGAAGGAAAGAATTTTAGGGGCGAAAAGTTATCGCTTTTGTTGTGCACGTGACTAGGTCTTGGCGTACGGAAATGCCAAGAGTATTATTATGATACTGATATAATCTGATTCATACTAGTATTGTATCAGGCTTATCGATACGGTATCAAAAACCACGCTGAGCAAATCGAGTGCGCAATTATACAATCAGCCTCATGATGGCTGTTCTCGATGACATCGACCCGTGCTGGCGACAGGAGAGTGCGAGAATGCAAAAGAATGAGACTGGGTGCGGCGCATGCGCAGGTTCTGTTTGTTTGTTTTTCCTCCAAAACAATTCGGAGAAATTTGGTCTTGGATCACGTGATGATAAATAATGACGTCACCTGCCATGAGATTCCGAGTGGACAAGCCACTGGTGCAGCACCATGCCAAAAGGTATTGCGAGGGTCGGCAGTATATCCGCCGGCATAAGCTATCCAAGGCTGATCCGTAGGAGGATATGTCGCATATTCGTTCACTGGAGTCGTTCAGTAGGAGGGCTTTTCATATCGATGAATGGATTAGTTGGAGATATCGGGAAGCCCGGTTGCATTGATCAGAATTTGGGAACAATGGATCCTGAGGGAGTTTCCGAGGTGATGAAAAAGGTGCTTGAGGAACAGAGGTCCTGACCGGATGCCCTGACGCATATTGTTGCCCGTATCGTCGAAGGTAGCCCCTCCAGTTCCGACCGAACGTTGATCAGCTATTGCAGGGGGTGAACGCAACTCCAATTGAACAAGCCTGCATGCCTGATTGTACACTTATAGTTCTCCCGACGGTCGGCCACAGCCCTGGATGGCTCGCATGCGAACAACAGCACCAAGAGTCAGCAGAATCGGAACCTCCAACCGAGACCCCCTGTCGTCAAGGCAAAGACTGCTGTGCATCCATGTGTAGTCGACAAAGCAGCCCAGGCGGATCTCCTTACAGCATCAACAAAGACCCCCGGTCGTCAAGACAGAGACTGCTGTGCATCCGTGTGCAATCAACAAAGCCCTGGTGGTGTTTGTTTGCAGCGATTAACAAAGGTTCTCGGTGGATGATGCACCGAGACGATTCCTGCTCCACCGTTGTGTTACCTGAAGATTTAAATACGCGACCGCATATCACATTTGCCGCACATAAAAGTCAAACAACAAACAAAAGACCTTCCGTCTTCTTTCTTCCATCATCTCCCATCGGCACGGTCAAGACATTGTGCAACTCGCTTCACAGGATGGATTCACGTTCAGAAAACGCGCTGGAGCCTGCCGCTCCTGGCCAGGCGCTCGGCTCTCTTGCTGTCTCGGATTGTGACACTGTCTCTGCTCCTGTCTCTGCCTCTGCCTCTACTTCTACCTCTGCCTCTGTCTCTGCCCCTGTCTTTGCCTCTGATGGAGACGCTATCTCTGTCTCTGACGGTGACAATGCCTCTGCATCTGCCTACACGGGCCAGCGATCACGGCCGACTCAACCTGATCAACTACAAGAACTTCCTCAGCTCGCAGAAGACGTCGCAACACACAAACTTCTTCTCACATCAGACGACAAGTCCAAACTGCAGCAGGCTGCGCCCTCCTCTCCCGACCCCCCATCCCCTGAATACCCATTCGAACTGCAACAGCTTGCGAACTTCCTCCGAAACCGACCACGTTCCAACGATCACATAATCGAATTCTTCCTGCCCGTGGAGCAGTACCAACAACTGTCAGAGTTATCAATTGACGGTCGATTTGCGGGATCGCGACTTAGGTATGTTTCCGTGACTTTGAGAGCCAAATAACGCACATCGAGACTCCGCTAACTGTCGACGATAGATACGACTATTCCTCCGCTACTGAAACGCTAGCTCTCAGAATGATTGGTGGGAAACACGAAAGTCTTACTCAATACCTCAACAATCGGCTGCGCTCGTTTCTCGACCGACCGGCTATTATTGAACATACCTCGTCGCTCAGATATCATGGCTCCGCTGACCTTGAATATCCGTCCCGATGCGGTAACGGTTATATCGTACATGAGCCTGATATCTCGATCACAAACTTGAACAAACCCACATACCCAGTCGTAGTTGTTGAAGTCGCACACGCGCAGTCAACAAAAGAGCTACACAATCTTGCACGAGAATACATCGAGCAGACAGAAGGTCACATCCAAACTGTGATCACACTGGATTTCGACTATCCAAGGGGCAAGGGAGCATATCTTACAGTTTGGAAGGCGAGGTTTGGTGAAGACGGGAGGTTCAAAGAGGTAGCTCGTGGCGACATCGTGGAAATCCGAAACAGAGACGGTGTCAAAAACCCCGATCCCCGGGCTGGAGTCTCCCTATCACTCAGGGACTTCGGAGTGACTCGATTAAGAACAAGGGCGGATTATCAAGTTCTCACTATACTCGGCGACGATGTATACGCGAGGTTGGAAGAGTGGGAGCAAGAGAACGAACTGGTCAAAGTCGCAAGAGCTGATTTCCTTGCGCGCGTGCAGGCACGTTCGGACCTTAAAAGACGACGAAACGGCGAGGTCGCACGTCCGGAAGGAATGAAAAGGCGAAGACGATAGATCTGATATCATAGCGCTCGCAGGCAAGTGCGGAGGAGTGAATGAAGACGACAAAGTCGCGTGGGTAGAATGATACTAGAATGGAAGATTTGATTGCGCACTGCTCCTTTTTTCATCAGATTTGATTCCCTGCTGCTGGTCCGGGTTGATATGATGATATCAACACAAACCTCGGTAGGAGAGCATCCCGGTGCGTCGAACGAGCTGATCGAACGCCGTTGAACGGCTAAAATATAATGTGAATCCTCTGACGTCCAGGTTGAAGTTCCTGGACGCGATCCCATGGAAATCAATCAACCGTTGTTACGCCGGCGGCGGGTCCGCCAATCAGGTTGCGTTGTTTGCGGCACCGTGCAGTCACGTGACTGAACGGTTCCCGTCGTGCCACTGGCAAGGATGCCAAGGCCTTGAAATGACTGTCCGCGCTAGTCGAAGGTATATAGTCAGACAGGTCCCAGGACCTTGTAGAAATCACTATGTTCCTCCATTTTGTCACAGTTGTCAGGGTTTGTCGACACACTTCACATTTTTCGCTGTGCCGCTGCGCGTCAGACCGTGACAGAGGGATGCTGGCCATAGTATCGTAGCCATAGCAGTAGTAGCCGGGAAATAAAACATTTCTCTCTCTCACACAAATACAGGCGCGCGGCATTGATGTGACCAACTAACCCGGTAGACCGACCAGGTAGGCAGACTGACCGTGCACTCCACAAAGCCACCCCGTCATCAAGCCAGAGTCTGCCTTGCATCCGTGTGCAGTCAACAAAGCAGTCCGATGACCAAGGCAGAGACTGATTGCTGTGTGTTTGTGTGCAGTCGACAAAGAACACCTGTCATCAAGCCAGAGTCTGCCTTGTATCCGTGTGCAGTCAACAAAGCATTCCGGTGACCAAGGCATAGATTGATTGCTGTGCATCCGCGTCCAATCAACACAGCCTTGGCGGGGTTTGTTTCAGACATCCTGTCATCAAGGCAGTGACTTCAACTGCCTGCATCTCCCTCAATTCCCGGTATAATTTTAGGCCACAAATACCAGTGGGTGCGTCTCCTCTGGCGGAAGAGGATGACATTTACTTCACGTATGGAAAGGCGGCTTGGTGAGGTACGACATTGTAACAAACGTCCTGAGGTCCGGAACAGAGGTGACGAAAGAATTTTCACTCTTGGACCGGAAAAACCTCGGGCCGACTTATGGCCCGTTTTGTTGGCCTTGGCAACTGCGAAGCCCAAATGTGTTTTTCAATTTGGACTGCGCAAGTCACAAGTCCTGATTACGTGGTCGTTGGTGGCCCCAGCCACATCCTCAAACGATGTTCTTCTACCACTGATGAACCCCGCGACGACAGTCAACGCCACTCCCCCTTGCTCGTCGTCGCATTGATTTAATCCAGGCCGATTCCACGACCCTTGAATCTCATGGCGTCTCCCATCCTACTTTTCGCCTTCGCCTTTCCCTACCATCCTCTCCTCAACTCGCATTCACCTTTGCTTACGCTGCTGCCCTCTTCCAATACTGCCTCTTGACCGCCTGCCCTGATGTCCTCGCTCTCGCCTTTCCTGGCTGCCGTTCTGTTTGGTGATGAAACTGAAACAGCCGAAAACACAAGAGGAGGTCCTACGTCTGACACGAGGAATCTACGTCCTGCCAAAAGAGGAGGGATCCTGGCGTCCTGATACAAGAGAACTCCTGCGACCTCGCATAAGAGAAATGCTGAGTCCTGTCCTGCATCCGGTCCTGCGTGCATACACGAGAAGTTTAATATCCTGTCTTGTGTCCTCACTCAAGACAAATTTCGCGTCCTAATATAATGATGAAGATCTGTTAAGGCGGAAGAGGCGGAATTCTACGTCCCAGCACGAAGAAGTCTACGTCCTGGGGCAAGAGGAGAAGTCGTGCGTCCTGATACGGTGATGAGGATCTGTTCTGACACGAGGAATCCTGCATCCACACACAAGGAGGACACGCTGCGGCAGCGGTGGCAAGGGGCCGCAGCAGAGCAGTACACTTGGTGCAGCGACGAGCAACACATGGTCGGCCGTTTCTACCACCACCTGACTATCGTGCGCTGGCGCCAACCCTTGTGGCGGCTCTTCTACCTCACCACGCGCTTCCTCGTCGGCATGCCGTTCCTGCCCGCGCGAGATTCCATCTTCGCCATGATCCAGGATTACGTGGGCCCGGGGAGGGCTTGGAGACGGCCACGCCGGTCGAACGCTCGGCGCCGACGTGGATAACCTCATGACGGTCGTCATCCGCGTGCTTTCGTGGCCGCTCACGAGCGACGAATACCTGTGGGCCTTCCTGCGATTGTTGTTGACACCATCAAAGTCTTTCAGCTCCAGTGCAGGACGAACTCGGAGAAACCCCAAGGCCTGGGGACTGATCTCACTCCTTTCTGGTCCACAGGATGGGTTTCGGGGCTCAGCCTCTTCGCTGCCGGCGTTCTCTGGTGAAACAGACGGAAAAGACGCAACTACGTTCCTTCGAGCCATGGGGGATAGATGACTAGCCAAGAGAAGCCTCTTCAATGGGCCAGATACCGAGTGTGAAGTATTAGAAGCCATGGTCACCGATGCTGCGGTGAACCTTATTGGTACTGCAAAGGAGTGGTTTAGAGACCTGGACGACGAGACCTGTCACCCGGGAAGCAGGGCTGTTACAATGACTGTTACAATGCGCTTCCCGGCCGACAACACCCCATGGGGCCAACGGCCCCAAATGCCAAGGCGGCCCCCACGAGGCATACACAGGAAAGAGATAA